GAGTTCACCCTAGTCTCTACTTTGAAGAGTCCTTTGTCTAGGATCTCTTTTTTAGCCTTTGGGGGAACAGGCGGCATGCTGCGGCCGCCTGCGAGAAGAGGCGGATCCCTATTCCACTTGTTAAAGCGTTTGTTCAGCTCCGTGTCTGAACCCTCGATGATAAGGAAGGTGTTCTGCCAATCCTTCCATTTGTTCGCCTTACCTCTCGTCATGAGGTAGCCCCTATGGCTTGTTAATTGATACCAGCCGGTACCTCCCGACTTAGGAGTCTGGCTGAGATAGTTCATGTGGGCGAAAGCCTCAAAGCTTGGCTCCAACCCGTACATTTCGCACCCGGCCACATAGCCGAGTACGTTTACCCAAGAGTTGGGGGCTAACTGCCATAACCCCAAATCATACCCATCTAAAATCCGCTGAACAGCCGGATGTAATGGGAAGCGCAGTCCAGCTTTGATGGCCGCCACATAGCAGCCAAAGCAGCCGTCATCATAGCTGGTACCAGCCGGCCAGACGACAGTGTCTTCTGGATCCGGCACGAACAGTAAAAATTCGGGGCCCATTCTGTGGTTAGCTATAAAGCTCTCCACTTTGTCTTGCATGGCGGCGATCCGGCCCCGGGGTACCGTGCAGTAGTAGGGGGTGTTTTCCTCTCTGTAAGAGGCGGACGGCTCCGCCCAATTGTCCCCCTTCTCAACTGCATGAGAAAGCCTCGCCTCTTGTAGGCGGCTGTTTCTTTCTTCTGAGCCTGGAGAAGCGTGGCCAGAAGAGCTGGACTCGGACTCGTCCTCTGACGAGTCCGAAGAGGACGACTCCTCCCCTCTCCCAGAGGGGCCCGCCTCCTCTCCCTTAGAAGGAGCAGGAGGAAAATTAGACATATCAACGGTGAAATGGGAAGGGACCACCTTGACCCCTCCCCCAGAACTGTCGGCTTGGCAGCCGCCTCGTATCACTTCTACATCTGGCGCCTGGTCAGATGTTTCACTAATGAGCACCCTTTGGGAGGAGCCGTCCGAGTTTGAGATCATAGCAGTCTTTTTTGTTCTGGCCATCACGTTCTGCATAGACACAGATACAGTCGGACTTTGTATAAAGGGCAAAGATGGGTCCAGAAAAGGGCAGGCGGCACTCCTAGTCCTAGATTCAGCCGTCCCCGGTGACCGGCTGATCACTAACTTAGGCCGTGTCGTGTGCTTCCGTGGTGCCATTTCAAAAAATAAAAAGAAAGTTAAGAGTAAGAGAACTGAGTTACCTGAACGAGTGACGGTTGATGAAGTTCTGGAAATCCGGTGCAGTCGGCTTGTCAGAACAGGCGGTAGGCAGAAGAGGTCCGAAATGTCAGAGCAAGTTCAGGGGTCCGAATGTTCTCGCAAAGTTCTCAAATGTGAAAATGACCGAAGTCAGCACTTCCTTATATAGGCAAAGTGAGAAGGCGAAGGGTCGCTTCCAAATTCAAAATTTGGGCAGGAAAATCTCTCGGCCATTTGCAAGGTGACACCTGTAGCAGGCCGTCGCCTGTCACCGTGCGGCACCTGTCACAGGTGACACGTGACCAGTCACGTGCCACCTGTGAGGGGCAAATGATTAGGGGATTTTTATCCACCAATCACCGTCTGACAAGTGGACCAACCAGGTTCCGCCACGTGTCCTTCACGTAGGCCAATAGGAGCCTGCCACGTGTCAATCACAGATACGTCCTCTACGGACCAATTGAGACACGCCACGTGTCCACCCATGCCAAATGGGAAAACCGGCCAACAAGGCCCAATCCTGTTTAGAGGCCCGGTCAGCCCTAGGTTTACCCTAAACCTAGAGAGTGGCACGCTTCTCAAGACTATAAATACTTAATTAATCCTCATTAAGTTGGGAGAACAAGAACAGAAACGTTACGGAAGACACTAATAACCGGCTGATCTCGCTAACAAAGCAGATTACCTACATTAAACACTCTCACCTAGAGAGACCTTATTACTTTAATTTCGGCATTAATTACTCCTTAATCAGGTACTAACTTGACCGTTGGAGGCGGAGCTCTCAGGAGTCTCCGTTATTTTGCAGGTACAGGCGTCCGGTTCCAGTCTCGGAATTGTAACTCTCCCGCAGGACATCAGAAAACCCCGAAACAATAATGGTCCTAGTCCCTTTAATAAATTAAATTCAAAAAAGAAACAGCCTTATATTATAGTACTAGAGATAATCGATTGGAAAATTGGTTAGTATTCTTAAGGGGGTGTTTGGTATGACTAATGGAAATTGAGTGGAAATGAAACAAATAAGTGAGAGAAAAGGAATAATTTAACTCTTACCTTTTTATTTATTTGGATTAATTATAAAAGAAATCACTTAAACCTATTTTCCTTTATTTTTGTTTGAGGAGGGTAAGAGTAATTGTTACATTAGGTTTAGAGAGGTAACACATGCATGGGTGGAAACCATTACCCTAAGGTAATGATAATGTTCCGGGTATGAATCCAAGGGTTCAGATTGGGACAGGCTGGGTCCAGCTGTAACCTGCACAAGGGAATACACATGACTACCCTCGAAGGTGGCTCGAGTAATCCCCTCCGATGCTTAACTTAGAATGTGTTTAGAGAGAGAGAAAGTGTACTTAGATAGAGAGAGTGTGTGCTATAATTTGTGTGTCTAACCTCTTTTCCGTTATACTTTATCCCTTATTTATAGGTGTATGATCTCCTTCAAGGGGAGTCCTACTTGGTTAGCGTGCATGTGTAAGGATTATTTCAAACAGTCAATTTTGAGCCCCTCTGTAATCATACACTTAAACGTGGTGGCGTCCAAAAGAAAGGGAGCTAGAGATAAAAGAGTCGCCAATAAGTTGTATGAGCTTGTAAACCGTTCACGGGTGTGAAGGTTACACCCCATTCACGATCACATAAATCACTAACTCTATAGTGGTTCGAAACCATGACTTGATATTCGGAGATGATAGTACGAATCCAACCTAAAAAAATTGAACAAATTTTTGCTCATTAAAAAATTAAGGTAATTTTTCTTCCAAGAATTATAGCATTGTTATATAAACATCCATGACTTTTTGACTACCAAAAAAAGCTAGTAAAAACATGAACATAATCAATTATTAACAAAATGAAAAATTAGGATGGAAACCACTCTTTGAGACGACATTGTTGAAAATTTAAATGGAATGGTACATGGAGAGGGAGTTGTCATATGTAAAGAAATAGTAACATTGTATGGAGTGATTATAATTTATGAAGTTGTTATTAAAAAAAAAAAAAAAAAAAAAAAAAAAAAAAAAAAAAAAAAAAAAAAAAAAAAAAACTACACTATAATGTAGATGTGTGCATGCATGGATGATCGTCATACATTAAGATTAATATATACATTAATACATATAGAAACATATATATATTAAAGATATGGATAATTTGCCAATTACTACTGCAAGTTAATACCATTTTGTAAATTACTACCGCAAATTAAAAAAGTTGTGAATTAATACCGCAAAATTTTTTAAGATGTTGCGATTACTACCAAACCCCCATTAAACCCAACTATGACGTCATTATATCCCTTTAACCCATGTTTGACCATGGTTAAGGGCCTTAACCAGCTCCCCCCCAAAAAAAATGGGTTAGGGATACAATGACGTCATGGTTAAGGGCTTTAACCCATGTTTAACCATGGTTAAGAGCTTTAACCATGGGTTAAAGTGATATAATGACGTCATAGTTGGGTTTAATGGGGGTTTGGTAGTACTCGCAACATCTTAAAAAAAATTTGCGGTAATAATTCACAACTTTTTTAATTTACGGTAGTAATTTACAAAATGGTATTAACTTGCGGTAGTAATTTGCAACTTTTCCTAAACATATATACATAATACCGATGAGATAGATTTTGGTCTGGTGATTATGATGAAGGGCTTGTGATATCTCTCATACATTCTCAATTGTACTATGTACCACTGTGGCTCATTCATACTAAAAATAAAAGAATTTTATATGATTAGTACAAATTTTTCCCTAAATATAGTGTATGCAGCTTTCCCTACACTCCCCTTTAAACTACGACGTTTCACGGTTGCCTCTACCACCTCACACACCCAATAACAATCCGATCTCCATGATTCCACTCATCAATGCAATAAGAGAAATTAAAAGAATTATGAGCACTAATAATAACCATATAATTCAAATATCAAAAGAAAAAAAAAATGCATTTTCATAAATCCGTAAAATATTGCAGAAGGATAGCTAGATCAAGCAAAAAACGGGGGTAAAAATATCGAACACTAAATTGAAAAAGGAAAATATATATTCTGGGTTGCAAGGCTGTTTATTTGAGAGTCAAGTTTGCAACTAACCATGTTTTAGAGGAAAGTGATTGACGAGATCATTCACGCCTTGGAGCTTCGACCGTCAGATTGCCGTGATTTTTTCTTAATAATTAAGGATATTTTAGGCTTAGTTCCTAGTTTTCATTGTACTTTTTGATATTTTGCTAAGAGATGTGGAAATAGTGGGTTAAAAAGTACTTTAGCCATCTTCAACCTTTGGAGGTTGGGACTTTAGAATGGAGTATGGTTGGGACACACTACCACAAAATAAGCAAAAGAGAACGCCTGAAATAGGCAATATAGAACACTTTAGAGGCGTTCTTCAACTAGGGTGCCTTATAAAGTATACTAGACGCCTATTTGAGGCTTTCTGTATACATTACAATACAAAACGCCTATCTTGAATAGATGATTCTTATACTATGTACAAAATATATAAACAACATGGAAAATAGAACTGTCATCTTAAGAAAAGCGTTCTCTATTTGTATGGTTTCAGAACGCCTATAGTAGATGACAGTTTTGTTTTCCTTATTTTTTATTAAAAAATAATAATAATAATAATAATAATAATATTAATTAATTAATAATTAGTAATAACAATAATAACTGCATTCAGTGATAAATAAAAGACTAGTACTTGTATATACGAAGTATGATACTCAAATCGCATTTGATTACATCGTTTAATAAAAAAATCATACGAAATATTGATTACATTTAAAAAAAAGGAATATTGATACAACTAAGCTATAGTAAACATGGAAAATTAATAAAAACACCATAATGAATTATAAAACAATTTTAATGGTAGTACAATTTTAGACGACCACCACTGCTGTTAACGATTAATTTAACTCCGAAAGCCAGCAATACCTCCGAGCACCGCCCCAATCAGCGATACAACCACCTCCTCTGCACCCGCGTATAATTTATCCAATTCAGACAACCACCACTTTAATCAGAGCAGCCACAACCCACACCCCTGCTCACGAATTAACCACCCAAAAATCAAAACAACAACCAAGAACCAACACTGCAATTACAAAAAAAAGGATACATAATTATTTCTATTGTGAGTACTCCAATTTACTTAATAAAAAATAAAAATTAAACCAAATCTAAAGGTGTAAATCAGAAGTTTGGGATTTAAAATTAACAATGGATACTTAAAACGAAATGATAAAGTGAAAAACAGAAATACAAATTAGAATAAAATCTAAAGTAAAATATCGATAGAAAATTGATAAAATCAGAGGTTATAACTTGAAAACCAAACCCACAGAGAAACCGCACCAAAAACCTACAGATCTAAAACAATTGAGAAGTAAAACGAAATATTAAAATGAAAATCACATCAGATATCTGAAAAAGAATGAAATCATGAACTTTAGATCGGAAAATAAGCCAAAAAAAATCATATCAATCACTTTAAAACAGCCAAAAAACGAATTTGAACATTGAAATTAGAACACAAATGAGACTAATCTTGATATACCTTATTGCATCTATACACTTCTCAATGAGTTTTATTGCAACATTTGTAAATCGAAATTCGAACACAAAATTAGGGTTCTCCGACTCGATCGACGGTGTTAGTTTGTGGAAAGAATTAGATCAACCTACCGCGGACAAACCAAGGTTGAAGGGGCTTCCATGATGGTGATGAATTGATGAACGAGGGTTTTGATTTGCTTTAATCTACTGCGGGTTGGACCCTTGGAGGTGATGATGGCAATAGAACATGGTGTAATTGAGGGATGAAGTTAGAACTTAGAGGAGAGAGAACTCAGAGAAAGAGTAAGGGTTAGAGGAGGGAGATGTGGAATGAAATAAGAAATTAGAGAAGTGACGGCTTGATTGAGAGGAAAGAAGTTAGGGTTAGTGACTTAGTGGTATACACGGTTTTTTTTTTTTTTTTTAACTAATAGAACGGTTAACCAAGAGAGGCGCTCTATATTGTCTAGTTAAAATTTTGCACGTATCAAATAGAGCGGTTAACTTTGATAGGCGCTCTATAGATTTAATATACTAAGCGTTTATCTTACATAGGCGCTCTGTATAATTCTAGAGAACGTCTATGTAACTCTACAGAGCGCCTATGTAACTTGACAGTTGTGTATAGTGTGTTACTTATTCCTATTTTTGTGGTAGTGACACTATCTTATTGGTATTACTGAGTAATTTAATTGAGTGTCTTTCAGGATTATTATTAAATATAATAACACAAGTTTCAAATTGAAAATGAACATTTATCACAATGAAAATGAACATATATTTATTAATATGTGAATAATCATATGTATTAATATCGTTCTCCATAATAAATATCTACCAAAATGAAACTGGACGTCTATGAATGAACATATAATTATTTAAAAGTGAACATATATGTCTTACAATATTAATAAACATTTCAAATATAAATATGAAATACCGTTGTTAGAAATAAATATAGGAATGAACATAGTTAAATATAGGAATGAACAAGTTTCAAAATCTAAATAAAAAATTTTAAAAGCCAAATGAATATCTTTCTGTACGAGAACAATAGTTATAAAAGAACATTAGCTAATATCAAAATGAACATTAGTTTCATACAGTTAAATATTTAGGTTGGTGCATTATGCAAAGTTTCTATAAAGTTATTCCTTTTTCTATATTTCAGATTTTATTTTTTTTATAACTGATTAACTGTTTATTTTTATAAGCGTTGTATATATTCATTTCTGTAAGCGTAAATGTTTAGTTTCTTTTATAAAGAGTATTGTATTCAAGATGTATTTTGAATTATTACACGTTTTTGTAGAATTTTATTTGTTTCAAATACATCTTTTTATTATGTTAATTTATATTAAATGTTGTCAAATATTCAATATTAAATAAAATTAAAAATGAATTCATAACATTAACAAAACAAGTTTCTAATTAAAGTGCCATATCCTTCTTATTAATAGAACATCAGCATTTCTTTCAGGAAAAAAAATGAACATCACCTAAATAAAAGGAATATAAAATCATATTCTTGTTTGGTTGTACCATTTTATAGCCATAAGATGTTTGTTTTGAGTATTTTCGTTGATGCATATGTTGGTCTTCAACTTTATAATTTATTATTCTGTGTAATAAGTGACTATTGTTGCTAATTTTTTTTAAAAAAAGTATTAGTAACAATCAATGCACATTATTTATGAAGCGTGAATGAATGTCTATCAAAATTGAAATAACAAAATTATCAAAATAAAAATGAACATATATCAACTTGAAAATGAACATTTATTAATACGAAAGTTATCAATATCGTAATAGATTTACTACGTATATTAAATGAATTGATCATGTATCCATATGAAAATGATCTGAACATTTACCAATATGAAAATGATCTGAACATTTACCAATATGAAAATGAACATTAATAAATAAATAAATAAATAAATAAATAATACTAATTTATTTTTTTCCCCTATTTACGATTACGACAATTCTTCTTTCTAGATTTAGGAAAGAAAAAGAAATCAGTTGTGCTTATGATAACTGTCTATTAGAAAGAGAAATTAAAGTAGTATTAGAGACTAAAAATTTAAGAGAAACAAAAATTGATGGGAAAATCGATCAACGAGATTTGTGTTGATTGAATATTCCATGGAAATGACTGGTAGAAGAACAAATCACACACTTCTAAGTCACACATTAACACATACGATTATTAATCTCTGCCATCGTCACTAATGGAGACTTTGAAGAATTCCAGCAATGGAGGTCTGGGCAGAAGTGCAGAACCATGGAGCCATGGTGGTGCGTAATATGTGGAGTGTTCAATTGTCAAATCATTACTTGCTAGAAATCTCAATGTCGGCAAGCGATAATCTTGATGGTTTTGTGAAGCGTGTCATTTTGATGGGTATAGGATTGTAGGTACTAGGGGTAGTGGGAGGCTAAACACATGGTTTAAGAGGGAGTGTAGGTAGAGTCTAGGGATAAATAATTATATGATTAGTCTTCAAATTTGTTACTCCCTTCGTCCCCAAAATTTATTTTGGCCTAATTTTAGTCCCAAAATGATCGACCCATTTGCATTAAAATATTCACCAATTTAGTACAATATTTGTGTGAAATTAGCTTCCCCATATAAAATTTTGTTTCATTTATGTACTTTTAGTACTTTCCCTCTCTACAATTTTTTTTTTTTTTTTTACAAAACCCATGTGTAGGGAATATTTCAAGCATTACCCCTAGCTTGAACCCCACTGTGATCATACACTAAAGTACGGTGGCGTTCAAAGGGTTAGAAGATAGAGCATTAGAGTCGCCAACAAGTTTTAGGAATTTGTAAACCATTCACGAGGTGAAGGTTACACCCCTTAACGATCCAGGAGATCGTCAACTCCTATAGGTCTGGAACCATGACTGGTAGTTCGGGGATGAAGGTACAAATCCAGCCTAAAAGAGATTGAACCTGCCCTAATAATAGACCTCTACTTTATTCTGATCGTATTCATGTGCGCTTTCTGATTAACATGCAATCAATAGGATTAACTCTAAACATGTTTATCTATGTTGGTTGAATATTAATGCACAAATAAAACTATTATTGGCGATCACTTGAATTATAATCATATTAACCCTAAACAAGATTATTAATTATCTTATTAACCATGATTACAAGTACCAAATTCCCTTTAAACATGCATAAAAGGCGTGATCAAGCAATAACAATAAATAAGCATCAAGAAACATAATAAATAATCATAATTATAATAGCAATTAAAATAATCATGTTAAAGAATAAAGCATAATAATAGCAAGATCCTAGGCATGATACTAACAAGATTAATAACAAACCTTAGCATGTCACTAAACAATAAAGATCAAATATTTAACCCTAACATGATACTAACATGAATATTAGGAAAGAAATAGGAAGCGTCATAATAATCATAATTGATATAAGCAAATCACCCTAAATATCATACTAAAGAAAGAATCCCAACATGATACTAGGAACATCCTAAACATGATACTAGGAATCAATAAAACATCCTAACATGACACTAGGAATCATAACAACCTAGACATGATTTCTATATCATAATATCAATAAAAACAATTAAAGCACTTACTTGGATGCCTCGTACCTCTTTTTAATAACAAAATACACGCGTTAGTAACTTCAAGGAAAATATAAAACAAAACAATTAAATTAAATAATTGAAATAGAGATTAGGGACCAAACCCTCATAAACCTTTCACGTCTAGGGCGAAGGCAACTTCGAACAATGCTAGGTATGTCTAGTGCTAATGTATGAGGAATTGTGTTTGTAAAAGAGTTGGTTTAGAAAAGAGAGAGAATCAAGAAATTGTTGATGAGAGTTGGTGAGAACTAGATGATAAGGATTGATGAGAATTGATGATTTTTTTATGAGAAAAATTGATGATTAAAAACAGAATTTTAGGAGGCTATTTATAGAGAAAATCAGCCAAACGGATAGAAAAACGAATTAGAGTTTCGACGAGAATAAAACAAAATTAGCGCCAGACGCTGGTCATTAGCGTCAGGCGTTGAAGGTTAGCGCCAGACGCCAAGCCTAAGCGCCAGGCGCTAATGCTTGTCATCAGGCGCTAATAATCAGTTTCACGCGTTTTTGTTTTTATCATATCTTTTGATCCGGAAGTCCAAATAAGGCATAGAATTTGTCATTGGAAAGCTCTTGAAGTCTACTTTCCAACCCAATTAGAATCAGATTTAAGAGAACCTTCTGGAGTTTTCTAGAAGACTATAATCAATCCTAATAGCTTTAGGAATGATAATTAATAATAGGCCCTCATCTAGATCATTGGGCCGCATATAAAAACCAAATCGGCCCCTGTTTAGTATTTTGGCCATAACTTCCTCATTATTCATCGAAATTGGGCTTATAATATATCGTTGGAAAGGTCTTTTCAAGCCTTATCCAAATACACTATTATTGGACCCTTATCATGGAACAAACTAAACTGGAATACACGTTTTTCATAAATAAGGTAAGAAAAGAAATATTTTCAAAAACAGAAAGAAGAGATATTTTAATAAAAACATCCTCATCACTAGACTTTTCACACTTTCTCTTTGTTTGATAATCAAAGACATGAAAGGTAGTCATCACTGGGTTTGGTTTTGGGGAGACACATTTGGGTGTCTACACCATGTAATTTTATCTTTCCGACATACTTGTACTTCTTTTTATTTAACTTTCTTAATATCCGCAAAATCAACCCAAAAAGGTCATTATTTCGGGACGGAGGGAGTATAAGTTATATAATTAGTATCCCGATTCATTGTGTTTTGATTATATAATTGGAAATGCTTTTAATTTTGCATATTTTAGGAAAAATTAATGTTGATTATCATTGATATTTTGTAGCTGTAGGGAATATTTCAAGCATTACCCTAAACTTGAACCCCACTGTGATCATAGACTTAAGCATGATGGCGTCCAAATGGAAGGAAGCTAGAGCAAAAGAGTCGCCAACAAGTTTTAGGAAATTGTAAACCGTTCACAGGGTGAAGGTTACACCCCTTAACAAACCAGGAGATCGTTAACTCCAATAGGTCTGGAACCAAGACTAGAAGTTCGGGGATGAAGGTACAAATTCAATCTAAAAGAGAAAGAACCTGCCCTAATAATAGGTCTCTACTTTATTCTTCTCGTATTCATGTGCGCTTTCTGTCTAACATGCAATCATTAGGTTTACCCTAAATCTGTTTAATCTATGTTGGTTGAATATTAATGCACAAATAAATCTATTATTGGCGATCACTTGAATTATAATCAAATTAACCCTAAACAAGATTATTAATTATCTTATTAAGCTTGATTAAAAGTATAAATTCCCTTTAAACATGCATAAAAGGTGTGATCAAGCAATAACAATAAATATCAAGCAACATAATAATAATCATAAAAAAAAAATCATAATTATGTTAAAAAATAAAGCACAATAATAGCAAGATCCTAGGCATGATACTAACAAGATTAATAACAAACCCTAGCATGTCACTAAACATTAAAAATCAAAGATTTAGCCCTAACATGATACTAACATGCTATTAGGAAAGAAATAGGAAGCATCATAGAAATCATAATTGATATAAGGAACTT